TGTTTTTTCTCACGTCACGAAATTGTTATATGCGCATTTAATTCCGCAACCGGTCACTTCGTGCGGGACTAAGAGGCTTACGGCCGTTGGGCCATGATGGTATGATACATCTAAAGACGATCGTGGGTCAGAGCGTGAGGGCAAGGTGGCATCTGCCTCATTCCCCACTTACAGCCAGCGCCGGAAGCCTTCACCGGCACAGACACGCTGCCGATAACGCCCCGAGGCCGGCTGCTAGCCTAGGCTTCTCGCAGATTTGCCAGTGATCCGCATCGGCCACGTACAACGCCAGTTGCTGCCACCGCCAAGGCAAACACAGCTCCGGGCGACGGGGCGAACGGGCTCCTCCAGTCCGGCCCTGGCCGCCCGAGCCGATCGTAAATCAGTCGCAGCCAAATACCAGCGCGTTATGCACCGGCCATTGGCTGCGGTGGCCTCCAACGTCACGGCGTAACTTCTCTTGCCGGCATCGTTTTAGTATCAAGCGATAGCTCACATGCTGACCTGGCGGTCTGATCGTGCCCATGCCATTGCGTCATTTGCGAGTGATTTAAGCTTGAAAAGAGCGGTGTTATTTCTCTGGCATGGAACGTTTCACTCACTGTTTTTTTAAAGTAGGATATTTCCAGTTGGTGAAGGATGTCTTGCCGCCGCTAAGATAACAGGTGTTAGGAGAAATGTGGACTAAATATAGCAAAATGGTCACATTGACAAGAAGCCTATGGATGGTGTTCTGGAATACATATTGCTTGTTTGCTTTTTTAGTGCCATCTGTTATTAACTGGATTCATTGTTCCTACCTTATATGAGTTAACCATGACACTCTGTAACATGGCAGCATTGTATGAAAAGTCGGCGACGGGTATGACGGATCAGGTCGCTCACAGCCTTCAGCCCAAAACATATCCCCGGGGAAAAATGCGATATCCATTCAGCGTTGTCCGGGTGCAAATAACGGTTTAAATATGGGTACAAGAATAATGTACATCGTTTTCAGATTTAGAACTCACGAAGTTGCAAAACAGCGACACAAATCGATGTTGAAATAGCGCATTCGAAGCTTATGTCAGAAGTCAAGCGATGAACACGTGACGAGCTCTTAAATCGATCTGATGTTTATGTATGCCATTTGCGGTCTAAACAAGCAGATCTCGCATGAGCCATGATGCAATAATTCAGATCATACGTTGTGGTCCTAGTCTGACATATTTCATGAGTGATAGTCATCCGCACTTAAGTATTCGGATGTTCGAAAGAAATGATATTTTCAATGCAAATTAGCGCCCAGGAAAATAACTATCTGATTGGGCCGCGGAAAGAGGGCGATAAAAACATAAGCAAATATTTTACGGTCCAATTCAGAATCCGAGCTAACTGATACTGGTCGTGTTCGAGGAGACAACAAAGCGCATCAGTTACAGCAGATTTCTGAGCTTCTGGCCACTCGGCCGCTTCAGGGGCAGGAAGCGGCGGCGATGCACCAAGGTCAGGATAGCCCGGCGGTACACCAGGAGCGCGATACATCTCTTTGCCTCAACGATGGGAGGTGGCTTCGGCCGTGCCGGGCCGTATCCAGCTGAGCATGGCTGTGACGCGGGCGCAATCACGCGGGTAGCGAGGACGAGCGACGCCACGGCCGGAGAACACCAGGCAGATCAGCTCGAACCGGAGCCGGACGTTGAGCATGGCTGGTGGGCCGTCCGGTCTCCCTGGCTCGAGTCGCGCCCGCCGGCGGCCAGCCCCGCGCACAGCAGCGTGACGGCGGTGTTGCGGTAGGAGCGGCGACAGACGGCACTGGAGATGGTGAGGACGTCGACCTCACGCGGCACGGCCGACTCCAGGCCATTCTCCGAGATGCGACCCGTGCGACCCTCGTTCTGCTCTGACGTCGGCGAGGCCAGGCAGACGGGCGACACCCAGTTGACGCACGGCGCGGAGTTGAGCGGTCGGGCCAGCCGCACCAGCGCCAGGTCGAGGGCGTATGTGGTTGGCGGGTAGTGCGGGCCAGCCGCACCAGCGCCAGGTCGAGGGCGCGTGCGGTGGGCGGGTAGCGCGGGCCAGCCGCACCAGCGCCAGGTCGAAGGCGCGTGTGGTGGGCGGGTAGCGCGGGCCAGTCGCACCAGCGCCAGGTCGAGGGCGTGTGTGGTGGGCGGGTAGCGCGGGTGCGGCAAGATGAACTCAGCCGGATGCCATTGCCTCGCTGGTCGGTGCGGTGCTCGCGGACCAGCACGCACATGCTAGCGACAATGGTGTGGTGTACGCTGTGGGTGGCCGTCAGCACGTGGTGGCTGTTGATGATGACGTCGTCGCAGAACGGCTGCCGGCCGCTGGTGCTCACCAGCGCCGCCTGCCAGCCGTACTCGGGCACCTCGGTCGGGCGCGAGCTGTATGCGTTTTGATGTTAATTAGCGGACAGAGGCATACTGTCAACCCTTGTGCACATAGAAATACCCTATAATGGTGTTCTTGGTCAGCAGTTTTGGGAACTGCAATCATGAAGGCGAACTGCCAAAGATGGCCTCAGTCTACATCATAGGCTCAAAGCTTGTACGTATTAGTCCTAAAGGTCCATAAAAGTTTCTTTCAGTTGCGCCTCAAACATTTTTACCCGGACAACCCGTATCGGCGCCAGCCATAATCCAAGATGTATTTGAACTCTGCCAAGAACAGTATTACCGTCTGCAGGGGCTGCGCGGCAGCTCGCGGGTCGGCAGTGACGCTCCCTATACCGCTCTTGCGAGAGTAGCGTCATCTTCGCCATTCACGACTTCGGGCGACGTATTTAGTAATTTGCGCCTCCGCACGTTTAACCTAAATATCATCATCATTAGTGTAGATAAGTCGTTGTTAAGCATGTCATCACGTTCAGGATTATCCATTGTTTCAGACTGGGCTGACAGGCGTTGTAGGTTTTGTTGTATTCAACTGTTAGGGACTATTCACTGCCGTCATATACCTTTCTGTTTATATCACTCGGTATTGTAGCGGACAAGCAACACGAACACACAGATGGAACTAATACGAGAAGGATAATTCCTGTCTGCACGGGGTGCCGTAGTGCAATATTAGGCTATGTGTCTAGGATATCAAAGTTGCTGGGTTCGATTCCCCGCGGTGCCTGCTGTTCATGCCAAGGTGAAAGGCAAGCGGCGTCCCGTAGCCTCAGCAGCTCGGTATGTCTTAAAGCCCCGATGGTGGTGAGAATGGGCTTGAAGCTTGCCGCGAACTATCCGCCAGTCATTCACGCATCATCGGTGACCCGGAAACCGCATTTATCCGGAGCAAGTTGCATGCATCAACTATGAATGGACAAATGCCCCCTCTTCCTCGGCGGAGCCACGCCCGAGAGCCCGCACAAACTCCGAGGAGAGGTGGCTGTGCGGGTTGAGTCTCAGTAGCGGAGGGAGACCAGAGACCTATAGTCTAGCCCATCGTTGTCCAGTGTCCACTATCATTCACCCGATAACCCCGAGGTGATCACAACGGGCCGAAAGGGGTATAATCCGAACTAAGCCAAAACTCCACACAATTGCCTTTCAACGTGTTTTGATGAAGAACTAGGAAAGGAAATGGAAAGTAACATTTGGTACAGGTTATGGCAATTCTAGTAGTATAGAGTATAGAGAATGTAAGAGTGTGGTCACTTAACACTCACTGTGCGAGGGCCTTCAGACGCCCTCCTTAAGCTTTTCGTTAATAACTTTTGAACGGTGTTGGGCGCGGGGCTGGATTTCCGAGTGAATATCACTTTGCGCGTGTTAAAAAGTTGACGTTTCTGGCCTCGACCGTTTTTGCTGTATGGCCACTTTTTCGTGGTCAAATCCGTGACATTTGGCTCAAAAGTGACTAATTACTCTTATTTCTGCAGGTAATACCCTCCAAAGGGGATTTCTTGACTCATATTCATGCCTCTATGAGTCCTAAGTGCACTGCTATCGTTCTGTTTACCGGCAAATTCAGAACTTACTTAGGCCAAGCTAGGTAGAACTTCGTTCACAAACACATCTGTGAACAGATGTGTGTTTGTGAACAGATGTGTCGTGTGGCCCTTTGAAGGCCACGCGATTTAAACCTTAAAGGCAATGACCTAGCTGTGGGCGTACTTAAAAGCATGCACTGCTGAGACCTCAGGACCAGTTACGTCTAACAATAGTACCGGGTGGAACCACTGCAGTACCTTCACTATATCGTAAGGAGATTAGTGTTATTTTCGTATCCAAACAACACCTTCCATGTTTTGTAACAGTACTGACTTTCTTTCTTGGTAGCCCCAGAGTGTAGCCCAAGTCTTCGACAGCTGCAGTTGTCACCGCTCGTGACTGGCGAGCTGCCCCGCCTCACGCTTTGACGTCACTGGCGCCATCCACCTGGCTCTCATCAGATCACGAAAGATGGAGACAGATGACGCTCCAGTCTGCGAGTTTCCAGCTGCGCAGAATACGCCACTGTGGGGTCCTCCGGACACGACTCATATTGCGCAACACATCACAGAACACACACGTAGAAAAAGGATATATCATTGCGGTGAGCAGGGAAATTATTGACATTTTCGAAAGAAAGATTTCGTGAAAACTGGACCCAGATCAACTTGGACGCGTCTGATCTAACCATAAGTGAAAAGTGCATAAAGATGGCATATTCTTCTTAATGGTACATATCTAGCGTCTGTGCGTGTTCGCATACGCATGCGTGTACGACTGCGTGTGTGTGTGCGCGTATATGCTCATGCATGCAAACGCGTGCGCCTATGCATGTGCACGTTCAACAAATCTGCTCTTGTGCCGTTGAGCCAGCACACAGCGCCACTGTCGCTGCCAAGTCAAAGGGCGCGGCTGGCGCATAGCGAATCGCAATTTGAAAGGGTCCCGCAGGCTCCGCGCGAATTACACAACGGTATAATTCAAGAAAGCCTGGAGTCTTAAGCCCTTTATTGAGTCTGCAGACAAGGCTGCAGCCCCAGCGCCGCCGTACCGATGCGCAGACATGCAATGGATCTGGTCCGCCTTTATTATGCATTACATACAACGTCATTTCCTGTGACACTAGTATAGGTGCTGAACAACAGGCATGTCGCTCCGGCTCGCTGCAAACCCTAATTACTTGGCCAAAAGACGAGGAGGGAACAGCTGTCCTAGAGCGTTGAATGCATACACACATGCATGGTACAGCGTGGCGTGACCAGAGAGCATCGACAAGTCAATCTCTTTTTTTCAGGATGTAATTAAGGATCCGCAAAATGACTTGCTGTCTGAGTAAATAAATTAACCAATATTTCGCCCTTTCGAAGCGCGCGATTAGTGAGGCAGCAGACAGTCATTAGTGCTGGCTTCAGTAAGCCGGACAATAGTGATGGGGAAATAACGATGAACGTCTTTGGGAGCAAAGAAAGGGTTTTTAACGAAAGGTACCCACAATGTTTCTTTTTAGTCGAGCGTGTGCGACAGGATGGTTGTATTGTTCACACACTGGTAAGCAAATCACATCGCTTCAAAATCAGCTTGCCTAGATCTTGGCCTAGATCAACCCTGCCTAGATTTGCGAAAAGTTTGTTTTCAGACACATATTTGACACAGCTATAGGCTTTTCCCGATTTTCCGAACTTTTCCAGCCGCCAAGTGACCAAAATTAAACATCGAACAGAACGATCCGTTCGCCACGTCGACATGTGCACCTTTCCGCATTCGAAAAAAATGAAAGTGATGTGGGAGTCTATTACTGCAGGTTCCTAAGCTTTAAGTTCACTTGAAGCAAGCACGCAAAAACTACTGCGTGACTGAGCGAACAGAACCGCAAGTGAGACCACCGGAATCTCGCAAGAGTCTTAACAGCCAAAACTCATAAAAAACGGACCGGATTATTATCATTGCAGGTAAAATTCACCCCGATTGCGCATACGTTACTCAATTTCATCAAACTGACTTCTGTCCATTTAACTCGCCGAAACATATAAATTGTCACCAGTTTAGGTCGATGGTGATCGCAACTAAAGATCTGCGAGAGATCTGAACATTCTGCGTGAATACTGAAAACGATGAATTGAGCTATCCGTTCCTAAAATTTTCAGGCCTCTGGATTAAAGCCTTAGGAGTAATATGCGTAACCACACTTTTAAAGGGGGGTTTGTATGTTGCAAATGGTCTCATAATTTAGCCGCCAATAACACGTGCGTAAGGACCATCCATAAATATTGTCAACTTAGCACGACACAACGAAAGAAACGAAACAACGCTGGAAATACTTGTGAAGCTCCATCAAATAGTGGTCCAGGAGTCTGCCTCCATAAATCCTATATGGAGCAGCCATGCAATCCAATGCAACCGTCACTGGCATTCGTTGTTAAAGGGAGTGTACCACCTTTGGTGCATATTTCAAAAACATGCTTTAGTGAAACCTCAGGGCTAGCTGCGCCTAATAATAACCGTGGGTGCTGCCATTGTAGCATCTCCAAGGTATCATGAGAATACTTGTTTCAATTATTTTCCAGTCGAAATAACGCTGTTAACGTTTTGCCACAGCACCACGATTTTTGATTGGCACAGCGGGCGGCTAGCCCCATATGCCAGAAGTGAGGTTCGTCAGTGTCACTATGGACCATGTGAGAATCTATTTCCCAGAGCCAAAGTGCGTTTCGAAATGGGCGACCGTGGTAAAGGTCACAGAGAAAAATCGAAGCCAAACTATAACATTTCGTCGAGTTCGCGTGCTAGTGGCCTCATGCTTGTTTTCTGTTTTCTCTGAATAGTGTTTCACGCTTTCGTTGCATTTATTATACGAAATGCTAAGTGCTTATGCTAAAATGCTTATTATACAAGCATTTTGACGTATTAGTGTATCGCCAATATTATGGAACACAAACGTTAAAAAAGCATGGTAGATGAAAAGCAACATCTTTATACTGGTGAGGATTTCGATGAGATTGCACCCACCGGGGCGGCTACTTCAAATCGAAATTCTGAGCTTTCCAAAAAGATTTCGAGAAAACTGGTACTGCCGATCAACTGGTCGAGTCCGGTATAGTACCAATTGAAAGATATATATAGTACTAATTGTACTAATTGAAAGATACCACAAAATGTGGCATAAACTATGGAAAAGGGTGCCTAAGAAAAGTGTTGCAAGTCTCTATCGAACCGTTCAGAAACCACATCCGAAAAACTGATGCGCACTTAAACCTTACCCCGCACACAATGGGATCAGGTTCTAAATACGTGCTTCAGACGCTACCGGTTGCAAATTATCTCACTGTTATCTAATACGCACCGTGTCTTATCGCAACTTGTGCTGGAACACATGCATCAACTGCATGCAATACAATTAGTTTACTCGAGGACTGGGTTTGGGCTCACTGAAAAAGCTCAGCTCAATGAGTAGCCAGTCATGCTCCATGTTGTGTAAAGCCATACCACCGCTGGTGGTAATTCCCAAACTGACGGGCACGCGGTTGTGAGCCCGGCACGCTGTCCCAGCTATATGCCGGCTTGGTAACGTCTGCGAATAAACGAATAGATATTTGGATCGAGACATCCAATCCTCGATCACACCCGAACCTTGATTACGGGCACCAAAATAGGCGTCAAAGAGGTGTCAAAGTGGCACCGTGCTTTGATCGATCACGCCCGTGCCTCGGCACTGGGCTCCTCGACCACACCCGTGCCTCGGCACTGGGCTCCTCGACCACACCCGTGCCTCGGCGCTGGGTTCCTCGACCACACCAGTGCCTCGGCGCTGAGCTTCTCGACCACACCCGTGCCTCGGCGCTGGGCTCCTCGACCACACCAGTGCCCCGGCACTGGGCTCCTCGACCACACCGTGCTTCGGCGCTGGGCTCCTCGACCAAACCCGTGCTTCGGCGTTGGGCTCCTCGACCAAACCCGTGCTTCGGCGCTGGGCTCCTCGACCACACCGTGCTTCGGCGCTGGGCTCCTCGACCAAGCCTGTGCTTCGGCGCTGGGCTCCTCGACCAAACCCGTGCTCCGGGGCGGACCTTCAAAGGGAAATCACGAAAAACTATCGGCCACGTAGCCAGCGCCCGGCGACGCCAAAACAGCATCGCGGCGCTGCCGGACATGCGGCAGCAAAGCCGATCGAAGTGGGCTGTGTTCGCCCGCGGCGCCATGGACTGTGACGTCGCTTGAACACGCGACATCGCGATGCAGCCGAATCATGACGGGGCGTGATGGGCACCGTCACACATCCCCCGCGCCCCCAAATGTTCAGGAATCGTTTCCGCCGAATTCCTGCGCATATTATCGGCCTAGCTGAGCGCTCGTCACCAGGTAAACACCAGCTGCAGACATAGCGACGGGCCACGGCACGTGCCAGCCCCAGACCTGGCTGGTGCTGGGAATCATGTCGGACGGACTGAGGCGGCTCAACCCTGTTCGCACCAAAACACTTGTCTGCGGGAGCTGTACAAATGGAGCACAGGTGTCAGAAAGGCGGGTCGAGCCCGCATGAAGACGTGAACAGTCGTCGTCACTTCAGCGTGCTTAGGTAACAGAACGTGTCTCACAAATCGCACACCGGTGGAATGAGCCATCGACGCGGGTGGTGTTTCTATACAGGCCAACGGCTTCAAACGCATTGCACACATTCAAGAAAACAACATCAGTGCGTTGCGTTTCATAAGAGGACGAAGCGTGTCAGCTTCACAGCGCACTGATCTTCAAGAACAAAATACCTAGCCCAGCAAAACACACTGTCTTGGACACCAGGACACAACACAGCCCTAGGCTAGTGGAATACCATCGGCTCGGGGTGGTCTGTCAATGAATGAATAGTCAACTGCAATAGACCACCACAGGTTTGGTAAACGTGAACATTACACGTAAGTTGTTGAGTGCATTCGCGAGAAACAATATGCATATGGATAAGACAGCAGTAATAGCCTCGCTCCCTGTAGAAAATGCCAAGAGAATGGAGAGATAGATGCGTTGCTATTTCGGCTTCATGCCCTGATCAAAACAAATATCAGTAGTCTGATATCTTACTACTGTGTATGTGGTAGTGCGCGGTCTGTGATCTGACTAAGGCCACAGACAAGTAGTGGTCAGACAGGCAGACAGACAGACAGGAGTGGGTGAGTGGGGGAGTGAGATAGGCAGACACATGGGTAAAAGGCTTCCTTTTTACCATTTGTGCCCCTCAAAAACTGATGGACTAATATTTTTTCAAACAAATTTTGAGGAAAACTATACGTTCATGTGGGCTACTCGACGCATTTTGCATAAGTACATCGGTATATTAAGTGATACCAGACATCGGGCAAACCAAAAAGGAGATCGGCAAATGTAACCCCTGCTTCTGTACGGTGTTTTCGTCGAAGGAAGTGAAAATTTTAAAGCGATAGGCCGCTGCTGCTTTATTATGACAATGCTGGTATAGTTCCCTACCGCCGAGTCCACGATCGCAGTGTGGTCGTGAGCAAAGCCTTCTGCTGGCACCTGTTTAATAGCTGGCTTGTTTTAGCGAATGCTCTGCTATTTCAAGACATTTGCTTGATGCGGCAGCATTTAATGGACCGCCAGCGGATGTCTTGGTCCTGTAGATCGTATCTGAACGAGAAAATCCCGGCAGCCTCCGGCAGCTGCGGGCATTGGAACGGCCAGCTGAAAAAGGCACAGAACGTGGTTAGAAGTGGGAAACATGATCAACCATGGCATGTTTGCTCATAGTAACACGATGTAACAAAATTACAGGCTTGGGATGACACTTGAGAGAAAGAGTTAATTTTGATCTATGAAGATGTTTGGGGCATTTCATCTTTTAACATTCTACGCCACATTCACGCATATCTAGGCAAAAGCCAATTTTCCCTGAATTGAATAACTCTCATATTGCCAGGTGGTACAGTCCACCAGTCAGCACAATTATGCATCCAATGAAAGAAGCGAAATTTCCGAGCTTGATCGAAACTGACTTTGGATTTTCATTAATTCGCGTTGGTGCTACAAAATCAGATTAGGTGCGGATCATGAATGACATCATACCTTGCACCCTCACAGCCACGGATATTAGCACGACCAACGAACAGCAGTGTGCTCGAACACTGCCGAGGGTTCAGCTCCTCAACTTTGGCCGTCGTGTCAGGAGACTGGACTTAGCAAAAGAAATCGTTCGACTCAATTCAGCAATCAACGACCACACAACAAGGACAGTATAAGAATCATGGACCTAAACACTTTCAAAATGGTGGCTCTCCGAGTTCGAACGCGTATAGAACAACCGGAGCAATGCACCTTTGGGATTTTGTTCAGGCGAGGACACCATAAAGCTATCACCTTGATAACGTCTACGGTAACGTTGGCTTAAGTACATGAAGTTCTACAATCCCACCCCCTTCGAGGAGCAGAGCCCCGCTCTTCAGAAGTCAATTGAAGCCCATTCCTTACTTTGGGCTAAGCATATTCATTAACTATGAGGTCACGACCCAAGTCCGTTTCCTACTCGGTCGACAGGTGAAGTAAGTGAGTTTGTTTACAAAAAGGTCGGTGCTACCATAGCAACACACAGCAGCGGTCGGTGCGCTGCTGACGGTCTCGCAAGTCCGGCAAGCATGCAGGCCTCGATCTCTTTTGGACAGTGTGATCGATAATAATGTATTTAGCCGCAAACCACTTGTCAATAACTGTTATCTAATTGGATTGACACGCGCCCGGGTGGCCGGTTGGATACTATTCGCTCGGGTGGGGGCGGAGCGCAATTTCACCCCCTGAGATCCCGGGAGCTAAGAAAGCAAGGCACAAAATTAACAGGGTGTGTTGAGTGGCACGTGATCTCACTTAGGCCAAAGGTTGAAGTTCCTGGGTCATGATATGCAGGTTAAAGAAGGTCAAACAGGTTCAACTTCCAGGTTGACCTCCAAAAGGTCCCCAGAACCTCGATATCTGTTCCAAGTAAAATTGCCCATGCTCCTTAAAGGTCAGTGGTCTTGTTTGAGCTTTCATAGGTCACGGTGACCAAAATAATGCAATACTGATTTGAGTTAAGCATTTGAACAACCAATAAGCATTATGCTAGGCAGTGTGTTCCTAAAAACACAATGTTCAGTTCGGCCATTTTAGGTCAGTGATCTCTTCTGACCTTTAAGATGTTCACTGAATGTGTACAATGCGTTTCCTGTTAGCAACAAAGTCGAAATGAGCACCAGAAAGTACCCCGCACAGCAAGCTCCAGTGGTAAGATTGGTTGGTTTTTACCATGGTCTGACCTTTGTACCTGATCCTTGGTCAATGGAATCTGTTTATTCAATTGTCGTGCTGTCTACGAAAATATATCAGAGATATATGCCTTTGTCTAACACTCCGTTGTTACATCTGGTTGAACGATTCCCTAGCAATTGACTTTATTGAATTTATGGCTTAACTTTGACCTGTCGTAGGTCAGCGACCTTACAAGGTACATCTAAATTGTTGATACCAAACGATCCGCTTTCAACGTCCATAGCTGTGAAAAAATGTGGCGCGGCTACGCCGCGCCGCACGGAAACCATTCCGGAAAACCTTTCATGGGGTCGAAATGACCCCCACCTGAGGCCATGGTGAGGCGCGCCATTTCTGCACGCTATATGTATCCATGGGTTGGACCAGCTGTTAGTACTTGGCCCATATTTGAAATTACAGACGTTCTCCATTGGCGTTTATCTGTAACACCACTCCATTACAAGCGCCCCGGGCCGAAACTCAATGAAGACCTGAGATCAGCGTGGCGGCTGAGTCGGCCACGGTGGCTGGGTGGCTCGGCGCTGATCACGTGGCTTCAGCGGATATGTGTCTTGCCTTGATTGGCCGAGCGCGGGGCGGTGCCGGGTCACGTGATGTGATGGGTTGGCGTGGGTTCGGGTGGCCGGGCCGGCGGATAAGACACGAAGGGCGGGGGCGGTGGGGTGGGGGTGCTTCGGCATGTTCATGTTGTGTACCCGATATTTACGGCGATAATTTTTCGCTACCATGATAATACGGCGGCATTATTAGCCGTTCCTAGACCCCACGTACAATACAAAACTGCAGAAATAGCGTGTGTCAGGGGAATCGTTCTGCCAAAATTGATGAGGAGAGAATGATTGTTCGGATCGTCAATGAACGCCCTTGTTTCTCTATGCTTTATTTCGCATTTCATTCATTTCGTTATGTCTTATCTTACGCGAACGACCACGGTTATTGTTCGGTAGAACACCCGTATGCAAGACTGAAATGAGGGGGAAAGGTCAAAGGTTTTTACTACGAGCTACAGCAGGTACACAATTTTGTTTTTCAAGGTAAAACGGAATGTGGTATGTCTTTTATCTCTACACTTTAACTTTTCTACACCGGACTGCTAATTTCTCCGAGCACGAGGCTCGTGAGAACGCCACTGTGGCACAGTAATCCTTTTACAAAGGAAGGATGCAAGGAGGAAACAACACAACAATGATTCATTCTTTTCAGGTACGTTCCGCTCGAATACACACATAGTTCGCCCAGATCACTCGATTCCTGGGCTCGCAACAGAGAAATAAGGTGTGCAGGGAATAATGAGTTACGCTGCTGTTCGTAGTGCAGCCCGTCCTAACGGTGTGCAACGTGCATACATTTATGACTCACCTTGAGTCGTCGGAATTAGGAGACTGCATTGCTGCTGCATCCGTCACAACTACCTCGTCACAATCATTACGATCAACCATGTAGGGAGCTTCCACAGCAGCGCAGTGGTAGTCTAATGCTCTGTTGAATCTCGCATCTGGCGAAATCAGTGTGACGAGCACATGGTCGACGTCGCACTCGTAGAAACTCTGCAAGATGAGGATAACACAGTTGCATCGCAAAGGGGATGCTCCACATTTGACGAGATTAAAGCTAGACAACACAATTTCTATGTTTAGTAGATATGCTCCTCATTACATCATTGTTTGATTGCCAATTGACCGCAAATTGACAGAGAGCCCATTGACGACCGTCTTATCTGGAAGTCGTGCACACGAAAGCCAAATATCAGCAACTCGACAATCATATTTTTCTCGGCCTTGATTGCTGAGTGGCCAATGGAATGGCAGGATTTGAATGATGTTATCATGGCGTCGTGGATGTCCAGGTGATCTTGAAATCGTCTGCTCGAAAAAGTATGTACATCTTCGCAGGCGTGTAGCTCAGAAACTACACGGGTTTGGATCTTAAGAGGGGCAGGGTTGTAAGCTGCACCGAATGATCTCAACCCTGACTTTTTTGCCGGTCATTTGCCATTGTTCGAACTTGACATAGAAATAAAACACGATGGTAACTATGGTTTGTATGCTTCAGATTTTTAGAAAAATGCCAGGTCATCGACCTAAAGTCAGGTCAAATGTCGCTATTTTGCATAAATGATGCAAGTTTGTACGTATTGTGTAGTTTTGGTGTCGTTTATCAGAAAAAGTATTTACTTACTTACATGCGCAACCATTATGTGACCACAAATCATATGACCCTGGCTTACGTCATGACCCGTCTCTGTGGGTGCCTTCGGCAAAGCAGGTGCTAAGGTCAAAATAGACAGTGTTTGAAGATATTCTGGACGCAGAATTCGAATATTCCTCTGGAAACGTGTTGAGATAAAATTATGACGCGTTTTGAGGACACGTTAGCTCGTGCATTGTTACACGATGTCATTTAAGGTCAATGACCTATACTGCCAGTAGCGGAGAGGCTAGATGAACGAGGACGACATGTGTAACCACCTCGTTATCGTGTTTGTCTGTGAAGCTGATGACGTCTAAGTTCATGCGGCAACGTACCTGTTCTCAGTTTGCTACAAACACATTGTCATGCGTCGATGGGACTCTATATAACGTAAACATCAGCCATACGACCTTGAGTGCATGCAGATGTCCAATACACTATTTTTGAGCACAAAAATATTGTGCTAGTCACATAGGCCCGTTTAGCACCTTTTCCTGCCTTTCACTCGGATAGTTTATCAATTTCGCCTAGGCTGATCTCAGATAAGCTCTAGGTCACCCTAAAACAGTATTTTAGTTTCTGGAATACTTTCGTCCCACACCTACATCTAATGAAATAAACTTAGTCAAAAAGACATTGCGAAGAAAAGGATTGTTCTTTTACGCTACCGGTCGTCAGTTTTGAACAGTCGCCTGATCTGACCTGACCTATGTGAGAGAACAGAAGTGGTGGAAATGGATTTCCCACAGTCTTTACGTTTATTTTGTGTCACCGATAATCTCCTGGCGCGTTAACATAGGCCTTAACTGCATGTAACGGAGCTCCCGTTTTTTGCCTTTCGAGGCCTTCGGTGACCTCACATTTGACCTAAGGTAAAAACTTTGGGTTTATTCTTCATGATTTGGCAAGATCTTCAAAGAACTGTATCCTTGTTTTCTCCTACGGCGTTTAGAAACTGGACATCCCGGGGGGGAGGGGGGAAGTCAACTTCCCCCGGCCGAGTGCGGGCTGACACCTAAACCCTCTAGTTTCTGAGCTACACACTGCTAACGTGTGCATCATATTTTGTGCGGACTGTTTTAAGGTCATTCAGGAATGCATACCGTCATAGAAACGCCATTTCAATCTTACTACCCCATGATCATTATGTGTTCAAGGCCAAAAAAATAAAATTGTCGAAACGTCGATATCTGGCGTTCTTGAGGACGATGTCCCCGTATGCGGGACGTCAATTGGCTCTCAACCGATGTTGTACAGGCCGTGCGAATTTCAATCACGAATCATGTGTTGTGTTTCACAGTGCAAGAAGTTGGATAAAAGTCCTAGTTGTTGCGGAAAAATACATCATCGAATTAATCAGATGCCGTCACAAACGAAATGTGCAAGAAAAAATACCTTAAACGCACGGATAAATATGCACAAACACCACAAGAAAAGCCAAAGCACTAGCGTATAAAGATATTTGGTTCAGCAAACACCTCCAGCTCCACTACGGTCACCTCTCGATTGCAGTAGTCGAGATTGAAATGCTGCAAGTGAGTGCTAGAGGAGCAATCTCGAACTACCAGTTTGGCTGCACCTCAACATCATGCAAATATTTCATGAAAACATTGGTGCAATGAAGGTATGTTTAGTAAATGGAAAAATGTTGTTGCCTTCAGCAGTTTTTTCATTGAAAGCATACCACTAAGAAAGCATACTTCATTATGCTCGATGTTTGCTTCAATGTGTTGGAAAAAGAGGCATTCGCTATAACTACATTTTTAATTATCGCTGCTAGTTAGAACACCGGCAATTTCGCACGGCTAGTTTGACAGCAACTCATTGTCATGCAAGAATTTCCACGAAAACAGTGGCGCGTTAAAGAGAATGTTTACTGAATAGAGACATTTTGCTGTCTAAAGCAGTTTTCCCAAGTAAAGTATGCCAGTAAGTGGGCTTAGTTCACTTTTTATGTTTGCTTCACTATCTTCAAACACGAAACCTTCCCTATACCTGCTGTTTTTGATAAGCACTGCTAGTTTGAACATCAGTACGGCATTTCCCTTATTGCCAACAGATGGTGCTGTAACCTAATGTTTCAAGTCATGAACATGTGATGGTTATAATGGAGCATGGCTAGCACGTATCGCAGAGCACATGACAGTTGGAAGTCTTGCATTCGGTTCCAGCATCGTCTCCCTAACACGAGGGACGTGTCCCACTGGTTCCGTCTGATTCTCGAGGCAACGTCACACCTAGGACGAGCATGACATGAAATTGCTTAATTCAAATCCGTGGATGCAGCTCCTTATGACCCAATAACTACGCCATTGGTAAGAAAAGTCATTCAACCCAACTCCTCCTAGGGATGTTATCAGTAAACTCTGGGACCTAATGGTTTAATATTTTTGTGCATACATTATGATCCTCACTGAAAACAAAAAGTACATCTTTGACGATGTTCCCTAAACATATACACAGGGGCCGTTAATGAAATACGTTACGAATCCTTGATCATATTTCAACCAACTTTCCCTCCCCGGTTATACGCTGCTAACGCTGCGCGAAAAGCTAACAGTGGTTACGCTATACTAAGCGCAACGTTTCAAAATAGGCAGCGTCCCTTTGACGCCTTGCTGATTAGGAGGTGCGAAAGACAGACGGACGGCTCGCTTGTCACGAAAGTAAGCCAACAGTATCCGGCCTTAAGGTTTCGAAGTATCTGAAAGAGTGACATGACTGGCAGCCGTACTCATGCGCAAGGTCACGCGGCAGACGGGGCAACGTCGCGTCGGACGTGACAGGCATTCTCTTAAGACCGCGCGCGTATCGGGTATGCAGGACATACCGTGCCCTCGGTGGGATCCACACGGCTGGCCTTAGCACCGATCACTAGGTCCGGCAGAGAGAACTGGGCACATCTGACTGCGTCTAGATCCTGAAAGCACAAATACCGCCATCAACCAAGCACCGTACCATCCACCACCCAGTTATCCACATGCAGTTTCACCGTACCGGTGGGGTGACGAACTATTGTCATGGGCCCGATTTAACGCATACATAGGGCTAATCTGTTAGAACACTTCACGGGTCATGTATGCTCACGGGTATCCATATGGAACAGGCATCGGGGTGCGTTGGCATACTGTCGAGGTTGGGAAAGGAGAAGGCAATATCAATGACATGTGGCACAATTAAAGGAAACCCTTCACGCTGGCACAGCTGTGAGCTCCTCGCGAAATATATCAAATCACGATACACGGTCGGGTTCGTCTTGGTGTATTTGCTGTTCCAGTATGAACCGTGGAAAAACGCTCTCTTACGAGTGCTTCCTCACTTTTTCGTAACGCTTGATAGAGGACCAGGGGGGGGGGGGGGGGGTAAAGTGTACTTTTGGCGCCGACCAAATTTTTTAAGGAAAAATTGTCGACAGTGGACAGAAATAGAACAGAACATAACAATTGTCCGTGCCCCATAGCGTCATCAGCAATCAGCCTATCACCGAAACTCTTTCATCACTGCAATTTTCGACATCGTGCACATAACCGAAACATTCACCCATACACTGCCCTTGAACAAATGTCTGGATAAGTGCTGCTGCTAGGAAAGCAGGCGCACCTGCCCTAGACTAATGAGATAGCCCAATCACAACAGGAGTTTTCCTCCACCTTCGGGACTTGCCGGGGCCTCACGTTTAAACTCGATCTACGGTTAAATTTGCTTTCGCTCGATTAACAGAAACAAAAAACAGCGAACCATCTCGATAGCCAGGGCAGCAGGATGCATAGCAGATCTGAACCAGTAGCAAGCGGCACTGGGAATGACGTCAGACATAGGGGCCCCTACCAGGCCATCCCATTTACGGAAATCACGCTTGCGCTTCGAGCCCCACCTCAACTGTCATCAAACTATCCACCTCACCATAGGCATGCTCCAAGCCTGGCGTGTCACGCCAAGTGCGTGCCAAGCCGTCTTCATGTTCCATGTCATTTCATTACATGGTTTTGTGTATGTGAACATGCAAACCTGATGTTTGGTTTCCAGAAAAAATTGACCTGCAACGTGGTCCATTGGGGTCAATTAACAACGGGAGACTTCTTACCAACCACGAGATCTCGCTAAAGGCAGTCCCCTTTTGCGATTCGTTAGGTTGCAAACGTCAGGGAATCCCCCTTCCCCCCCCCCCCCTCCCCGCTTCCACCAGTCCGCTTTACAAAAACCGGCGAATCAGGGTAAAGGTTAAGGCTGTTAACTACCATCCTTTTTATTTATTTTGTATATGCCGGTGTAAAAATCTGCATTAGCTATGAAAACATAAACTGCTACAGCAAAATCACACATTTCATTACCAACATCCAACACTTGGTAGAAATTCAATCAGCAAGCCAAAACCGCCCCATGCATGCCAGTAGTATGCAGAACTAAGGTTATCTGTGATGTATGTGATATGTAATGCAGAAGTGTCAATTCAAATCAATTTCTGGGGCACTACCCAATATCTACGTTGGGTTGGGCCCCCTCAATGATGATTCCTCCCCCCCTCTCAGCTAGCATTTCTAGCTGAAAAAATACACAGAAATGAGAGAATAAAAATACAAGAGAACAAAAAATATGAGTGAAGAGCTAGCTATAACAAAAAACATCTTCTCTGGACTTAATATGTTGGCCATTATCCATGGGTTGCTATCCCCCTCTAAACATTCATATAAATTGGCACTCCTGTCATTATGCCACCACCACTTGTCGGGTTGGGCGCCCTCAATGCTGATTCCTCCTCCTGCCGCCCCCACCCCACCCCCAGCCAGCATTCCTGACTGGAAGATAGCAAAAAAAAGAATATGAGAAAAATGCTAACTATAGCACGCAACCATCTTCTCTGGCCTCTGAGGACAATGTTAGCAAAAGCAGTAATGAAGCATACCATATTTGCATCCATGCAATGTCACGCTCACAAATGCAAAGAAAATATGCACATGAATGAGCACTGCAGCATGAGTGACTTGTAGAGCTTTGCTGTCAGAGTAAGGGTGCTATTATCACTCCACTCCCCACTTGCATTGCCTCATCATGGCCTACCTCATTGGGCATCATCAATTTCCAGCGGCCAAGATTCATGTCACAAAGAGGTTGAACGGTGAATAACTGTTAAAAAGCTATCAAAACATTGACAAAATAGTTGTATTCCAAGCAGGGGCATAGTTTTTTGGGGGGAAAGGTTAGAAAACAGTGAGACATTATGCAATGTAACTCAAAATATGAAGGTCTCCCAGATCAGCACACCTCTTTACAAACTTAGGGGGGGGGGGGGGGTTGGAGCTTTGACCTGAATAAGAAGTAAGAGCACCCCGATTTGAAGATCTTGGTGACTGGTAACCATTCTCAATCAGGACAAGAACAAAAAAGGTACAAATTGGTATTTCTGAGCAACTATGACCGTCTGTTATTCTCCCTCATGAGGAGTGTCATCAGACTCCAACATCAATCCATGGTTCTTTGAAAGGGAAGAAGGCTGGTTGTTTGTGACGGCTTCAGTGAGTTAACAGCCTTTTTGGTGTCTTGAAAAGGCGGTTTAGATAATCACAGGTCAATTCCTACCTTGATCGGATAATCCCACCGACTTACCCTGATCTATCAATGTCTCTCGTCGCTGAGGACAAGGTGTTGGATCACGGCACAGCCATCGAAGTAAACAAGGCCAGAAATTAAACACTGGGCAGGTGCCCATGACACTGCAATGCGAATGCCACTTGCAAAGTTGCAGTGCATTGAAAGCCACCGCCCACCTCAGATTGGTCGTATGGCGACAATTGAAACACGCCATTGCGGCCAGATGTATCCCCATATCTAGATCTTTTTCAGCATTTTATACTGTCTAGTTCAGGACTCTGGGAGTCGGCTGTTAAAAACAGTGGATCGGCCGACCAGCCGGGTCATAGAACATACACTGATTTGTCGCCGACCTGTCGCGGAGTCGGTCGACAAACTAAAAATCATAGGACATTTTTGTTGCCGGGTTAGAATGAAACCTGCAAAAGATACCAGGGTGCCGTAGAGCACGGTAAAGTCTTTACGGAAACGTTTGCTTGTGTTGTGTGATGAAATGTATTACGATTGAGGCGTAATATCTTTGTATAGAGACATCATGCCATCTTCTGCATGTGTGCTGTATTTTTTCGTCTTGGCCGTCACCAAAAATTTGCTGTCCAAAAACATTTTGGCACCAAGCTTTGTGTGAATATATGCATCTTTTTACCGCTCTTATCCAAGTCGGCAGATTTTAATACCCCTGTAGAGGACGACGAGAGACGTCAGTCTACGGTTCGTATCGATTTCGTAAACCCGATTTCGCATTTTGCATTAAGGGACGTAATCCGGTTTAAAACCGAATTTCAACTCAAATGAGAACTTTGCTGAGCCCGCTCTGGATGACTGACTTAAACTGAGTGTTTCCCATTCATATGGGGTTTTGAACTGAAATAGCCATCTTGAAGACCTTTCGGTGCTGTTCATAGTCCTAGCGTTCTTAATACCTAACCCCCTCTAGTTTCTGAGCTACGCGCTGGCGAAAATGGGAAATATATATCGGCAAGGTTATTTCAAAGTCACTTTGGCATTCATGACGTCATAATGTCTTTCAAACCGTGTCAAGTCGTTATTTGAAAATTTTAAGCTACATCACGCTGTCCAGGGGCCCTATGCTGATTCTTGGAGACATATATAGCCACCTACAGGTTATTCTGGTCGTTAAGGAGTGTTTCACGTTGCCCTTGATTTCTTTGCATTTTCTCGGAGGGCCCTGCGCTGTTGCTGGACCCTTCCTGCTAGCGTGCCGAGGCACGCTTGTCAATCAGGGACCTTCCACGGATTCTTTCCATCCGCCAGATAGGCTCTGTGGGCTTAAGTCGAGGCCCCATATGCTAGCCTACCGGGGTATTCTCGGTTGCTAAGGGGCCGTTTACGTTAGTAAACCTACCAACACACTTGCGATAAGCTCATGGACCCTCTACAGTGGTCTAGCGTGTTTCGGCGCTTCCAATGCTGTCATTTGCTTAGAACCTTACGCTCTTGTCGGGACCCTTTACGTTAATCTACTTGGGCACACTCGGTCGTTCGGGCCCTTCAAATTGGGCCTCGGGTGCTTTTTATTTGAGCAAATGGCCTTACACTCTTGTTGCAGGCCCATCTGTTAACCTGTTCGGGCACGCTGGGTTGTTTGGGGGCCTTGCACATTGGGTATTTTAATGTACGCCCCACGCTATTGCCGGAGCCATCTGATGGCCTGCTCGGGTACACTTTATCTTTTTGGGACCCTCCACACTGGATCTTGGGTGCTTCTTATTTGCATGGGGGCTCAACGCTCTTGTCCGGGGCCTATCTGATAGCCTGATCGAGCACATTCGATCGTTCGGGGTTCCCCTACGTTGGGTCTTGAGTAGGTCCTGTTTGAATGGCGCCCTACGCTCTTGTCGGCAGAGGTGAAAAAAACTTCTGATTTACCGGATGTGGTAGGTGACAAAAACTGAGACTTTCGCGAGCCAATTGGTGACAAGATCTCGAAGCTGAAAAAAAATATCAACAGACCAGGGCATATCACAACAGACCATCCCAGCTAGTTCAAACTAAAAGCTAAGCATTTGTCTGTACCCGCTAACACTCGCAGCGTGAGCATGTATAGAACACGTCTCAAAACGTTGACGTTGCGCTGCATGAGCAAAGTGGGCCATAATTTGCTGCCAAACATAGCAGCTTTAATCAGGATAGTTTTAGTGTGTGTTATATTTCTGGCCCCCTGGGCCAGAAGTATAAAACAAGTACACTGATATGCATTGTATAATTAACCGAACGCCCTGCGTCACCGCGTGGCGAACATTCTGCCCACCTGTGTCAAATGGCACGACGCTTTAAAACGCAAACTGATCACATTCGTCGCAAGATACTGCAGCCAGCCACAATTCTTGCCAGCCGTAAGAGTTGGCTAACTGACTAACACTGATATCATTATATCATATCAGTGCCGACGTCACACTTCAGTGGTGAAACAGTGCTTTTCCCATGGCCCTCAGGCCATTGTCTTCACAGATGTTTCAGTCAAGATTCACCTCACATAGTTACAACAGTATTAAATACTAAGTAGCTAGGTTTGTTGCTAGTCATAAGAATTGTGGGTGGCCGCAGTACCCTGTGACGAATGTGATCAGTTTGCCACGCAGCGTTTTAAAACGTCGTGCCATTTGGCACCGATGGACCGAATGTTCGCCACGCGGCAACGCAGGGCGCTCAGCGCAACGTTGTGGACTCCTGTTGGTTGTGGTCATGTCGCGAGAAGCTGAACGACTGGAAGAATGTAGCTAATAGTCAGTTTTTAAGGTCAGAGCGCTAAAGCGCCCTGCTGATCAAGAAGGATTGCAATTTGTGGATACCTGAGCTGTAGCTGCAGAGGTAAATGGAAAATGTTGGAGAGACACATGTCATGGATTCATCCGGGACTTCCTGCTGCTGAGAGGAACAGTGGTTTTGAGGTAAGAGGCCGAGAAGTACTGACTACACATACTGACTACAGATACTGACTTCACATACGTCATCACTTTCATCGGCCCGCTGGCCGCTCCGTGTTAGCCGCACGGCTGACGTTGCGAGACCAATGAAACTGCACCGCCAGGCGTCAGGCTTAGTGTTTCGAGGACTGGCGAGCATGTATCTTCAAAATTATGTTACAAAACTGTTCTCACAAATCCATTCTGATTGACGGTTGAACATTCCCAGACGAGAATGGCTTGGCCAAGTTAATACGAATTACTGGCCCCAGTTCGAACTACGATCTACGTTCAGGGACAATTAATATTCCTGTAGAAACACGAAAAATTTGGTGAAACCTCTCATGTTATCGGTTTAGAAAAGTTACCCTGAACCACAGTATATTATTGGCCCCACGAATTATTCCATGCCGCCATTTAGCTGACGCCCGCTTTCTACAGATTCTTGACTTCAACATGCAAACAGAATTACATATTTGGATAGCTTCTGGATTACGTTTCAGCCCAAGACGGTAAAAATAATAAAATAGGGCAATTGTGCTGCTCGAAACCAAATGACTTATATCCGCTGATATTTCTGGAGGGGGGTCCTTTCACCATCAGAGGGACCTTTGTGAGCCCTGTGCCCCCCTTACCAGGGCTCTGTGTGCGCCCTGTGCGACCACACAGTGTGAACGAATTTACGCCCCTTTGGGAAGGTTTCTTAGACAATTCGACATTGGGATTAGAATTACAACTAAATCCTGAGGCCTTGGGCTACGTATTAACGTCAAAACAAGATGAAGGACGGACAAAACCTTTTTCCACATGTTTCTTCACCACAAAAACATCAACAGAACTCTTATTTTGTCTTCAAACGGTAGGGGCCAGTTGCTGACCTATGACGTCCTTGTTTACCTTTTTAAGAAATACGTAGTCTATGGTAGTTGACGTTGATTGAGAATTCCAGTATCAAAATGATCTGAAATTGACCTTTTCGTCATTTTCATCTCCTAACGGCCAGCTAAATTCACTGGCATGACACGACCCCCAGCGACTTTTTGTTAAGAAAAGGCACTCGGGCGAAGATTGGATGAGTAAGTATATCAGATAACACATCCGGCAATGACATCGAGCCTGACATGGTGTGGCTATATCTGACAAAATGTCAAGATGTAGAGAAATAAAATAGTATTTGACATAAATTAGTCATCATGGAGTACTATTGCACTATATAAGTGTGATATCTCTATGCCTTTTCTTTGTCGAAGCATCAAGGCGAGGGGTAAACTATCCCCCACCGCACGCTCCCGAGGGCGCCTTTTCAACCGGGCACTCGGATGTGTGTCAACATCGGTTTATGAACACGTGATATGCAGCCTAGAACAAATGATAACGTTGGTGGGGTCGAGGGCATGTACCCACCTCCCCCACACTGCCATAAGCTGGGTCGTCCTTCAGGCCCACCATCACCATGTTTTGTGCTGGATCTTCTAGGCAGTCCAGGAAATATTCCCCTCCGACTTGGTATTCATTCTGAAATTTTTTGACGTATCTTGGCGGACTTGATGCTGGAAAACACCCAAGCAAGATTACTGCATGTTTTTGTTGTTGTTTTGCCATTATGGGTACACTGGCACGGCGCTCGACGGAAGCACTAACGATGGTAAATATCTTACCGTTTTTGATTTGCCTTAATTCTCAAGATGATCTTACCCGTCGCGAGAGAAGACCAATGCACTAGTTATCGCTTTTAAGACTCTAAGCAACTGCAAGTTTAAATAATCAATGGTGAATAGTGCATGTTGTATCGTGACGGTAAGTGATCCGAGGACATAAACACACTTCATTTCATGACATTGCATTTCAAGTGATTCAAAACCACGCGTCACTTCTGTAAGCAGCTGCAAATTGTTCTGAAGGGTAAGGAGACAGATGTATGTATTGCCCTGGAGCTAGATGAAAATAAAGACAAATGAATTGGGGTCTCAAAACAGGGTTACTTACCAGAGGGATACCATTGCCGCTGCATGACGCACGCACACACGCACGCAAGCAGGCAGGCACGCATATACATATATATATATATATATATATATATATATATATATATATATATATACGAGTTTTGGTGTAGCAATAAATATATTTTAACTTCACGGGACCCATGGGAGCAAAGCACTTTTTGGCGGCACTCGCTATGACGGCACTTGAGTCAATACGCCAAGATTTTTTATCGCCGACCGAATTTCTGCAGGCAGAAATTGGGTCGGCAGCCGGTCGGTTGGTCGCTCTGCCGCCAGCATTCGGGCAGTCACTCTGCCGCTAGCAGCATGACATAATACCATATGACATAAACTGACAATGACGTCCATGCCCACAAGCCCCATCAAGAATCAGCGTACTACCGAAAGCCTGTTTCATCACTACAGTTTGCAATATCATGCACACAACCGAAATGCTCATTTATGCAATGCCATCCGACTCCTGTTAGCAAAACTGCTGCTGCTAGAAAAGCAGGCGCACCAGTTTTAGACTATTGGATCACCCGATCACAAAAGCAGTTTCTTCCACCCTCGAAACTTGCCTGTACCTTACTTTGAAACACGATCCACAGCTGAATTTGGGTCCCTAAACTGCGAAACAGAAAACAAAAGACCTCGATAGCTAGTGAAGCTGAATGCATGGTAAAATTCAAACCGATGGTAGGCAGCACTGGCATGGCATGCAGTACGCGGGCGGCTCCTTGAGCCTATGTCCCTTATGAAAATAATGCGGTCGTCTCGAACTCTACCTGAACGGTCATCGAATTATCCACCAAGCCTTAGGCATGGCCAAAGCCGGACGCACTATGTGCTGCCTGGTGGGCGCCTTTAACCGCGACCCAAAATACAATTTCTTAAAACTGTTGAATAGCATCACATCGGGCTGCTAGTTCCTCATGAATAACATACGATTTAACAGGAAGGGACCGATGCGATGCCCACCTACCCCCCCCCCCCCCTACCATAGGTTTTCACATAAGGTTTTCGGAGGTTGCCAGTCCGGCATATTTTGCAATCGCGATCAAATCTTTGGCAATCTCTGGCGCATCCATATTGGTGATTTTTCAACATGATGTGCTCTATTCAAAACCTTTGAGCTTTTTCGATGGGTAAATGGCTGAGCTCGCATTGCTTTTAGCTGTTGGCCTAACGTTTTCTGAGCAGCGTTATCATTCTTGTACACTGGTGCTTGTGTTCTTAACAAAGTTCTAATGATGATAGCAGGACTTGACCGCGGGAATATCCGGAATGTTCTGAGGCTCATGCTATGTTGTGGGGTCTCATATCCGTGATAATTAAATTCATAACCTAAGACTCAATGAAAAACCTTCCTCATTAGCCGCCTGTGTTTTGTGGGTCCGTTAACGTAGGACCATGCGTCGAGTGTCGGGATATGGAAGCTTAAGTGATTTGTTTTGACACGTTTTTAGTGGTAGTGTCTGCACAGACGCTACGGATTTTCTGAACTCTGTGACTTTATTTATAAACGCACTTCTGCCCAGTCTTGCTTGACGAAGTTCACTCGTGATAATAAGAAAACCTTGAAACGTTGAGTATCGACAGCATAACCAACGTTGCTTGTTAACGTTTTTCAACCAGTACTACTCGGTACACTAAAAATCGATAGCTCAGTGTAAGAAATCTGAATACATAATGCCAAAAATTAGATGTGCAAGGTATTTCTTGCTAATACCAAGTTCGTCTAGTTTATTTAAGGTAATCTTGTTTTGTGGACTTCATCTCGATGCCATTATATTTGGTTCATAAAAGCATTTCAAATATTGGAAATAGTAAATGACAAGGGAAATGATGTTCTGCAGGTGGAGTATCATAAAAAACACAAAACGTTCAGGTACTCTGATGCTGAGTGGTCTGTTAACAGCAAAATAAACAAAAGGATGCATTCAAATCTCCTGCATACATTATACATGCATTTTGTTTTTGCTGCATGCATCTGAAGAGTGCATGCAAACATCCCAATGCAAATGTTGCTGAAGTTCTGTCATGGAAAACAAACAGCTTATTAAGACTATCTTTGAGGCAATCAAAACGTTATTCATCATAACGCCAAATTACAAAAAGAAACTTAAGAAAATAGCAGATTGTAGTCCAACAAACGTGGCGGCCCTCTTATGTCGCAGATAACTTAGAAAAGTAGCGTGGTACCAGAAACGGCTTTACTATCTAGACACAGCTCAGGAGTCTCGCCAGAAGAAGCATTGTTGTAAAGAGAACTCTTCGGACAGTATCGCCATGGGATGCAACTGAGCTTTTAGAGCATCTGCATGCCGTTCGTGGTGAATTAAAGGAATGCTGTTTGTGTTGTTTGGTGTCATTTTGACCCTCATTTGGATGTAAAACAACAAGATTCTTTCATCCCAAGGCATGTTCTAGAGAAATGGGGTTCTGTCTATTGTCAGAAGGGTGGTTTGGCTGATTTTTTTCCGTGCGGTGATTCATTCGACTAAAATACGAGGAAAAAACTACGTACTTGTAGTGGTGGCGACGGTAGAAGTCCTAGCCGTTGAAGTGGAAGCTGAGGTAGAAGAAGTGGTGGAAGTGGAAGTTGAGGCAGAAGAAGCGGTGGTAGTTGATGTTGAGGCTGAAGAGGCGGTGGAAGTGGACGTTGAGGCTGAAGAAGCGGTGGTAGCGGAAGTTGAGGTAGAAGACGCGGTGGCAGCGAGAGTGGTGGTAGTTGAAGGGATAGTGGTAGGGCTGGTGGTTGGAATAGCAGCCGATGTTGATGTTGAAGTCGTAGATCCTGTTGTGAGCAACGTCATGGTGGACGTTGTGGACTGCTGAATGTTGCCAGCGAGATCGGTGGACGAGGCTGTGGATAACACAAGAACGTTCTCGTTCACGAAAGTATTTACGATACGCGTGAGGCAGTGCGTCATTCCGCCATGCTGTATGGATCTTTTCTGCTTTGACCAACGTGGGATTAAAATGCATCAAAACTGGAACAAAGAAATACAACTTGAGTATTTTTAGGTGGCGAAAGTTTTTGAACTAGAAGGATGTTAAATACGGTGTTCCACCCCCATCTACGCCGGTGCTTGACTGTGTATCGTACGTACTTTTCCGGCCGTCTAGATGGCGAAGTCGGAAATACGTCATTGATACCATACCACCGTATATGTGGAACGATGGGAGGATGCCAGAACTGACGTACACTGCCGTAAACCATAAAACCGGACCCTACCAGGGCTTATTAAAAACAGGTGATCTCATCGCGTTATGTTCTCCCTTCATCCTTTACTAGGGCTGATGACAAAAGAACTGTCAGATTGCAGTTAGTTGGACTATTATATATACTCTATATAGACTATATATATATGTATATATATACATATATATATATACATATATATATATATATATATATAGTCTACATGTATGTATATATATATATATATATATGTATATATATAGACAACTAGTTAGACAGTTAGACAGACAGTTAGGTCAGACAGATGAGACAGATGAGACCAGATGGGACCGGATGGGACCATGCGGCACCGGACGGGACCAAACGGGCCTGGTCTGGTCTCGCTCGGTGTCGTTCTGTCGCATCCGACTTACTTTGGCCACGTCACCCGCCGTCGCATTTTTCGGTCTGTTATGGCTCTGGAGAAGACATTTCGGCCAGCATTGCATCTTTTGCTGTGACGTTTTCACGCTTTTTAACTGTACGCGCACCACAGGGCAGACGGGGCGCCGTGCGCGGAGGCCCAACGTGACTGCACGTTTCGGAGTGCCTCGGAGTACCTGATGCCGTCGTTTCGGAGTTCCTCGTAGCACCTTGCTGTGTCGCTGCGCCGTCGCCTGCGGACGAGACTGCGGCCAAGGCTTCAGCTGAAGCTACGGTCGGCGCTGGTGTCGATGTCGTTGGGCTATCGCCTATAAAACAGACCCTACTAGGAGCCCAGGGAACACATTGGAAGTGGAACATGTCAACTATTTTGGGAATTGAAAAAGGAATCACAGCTGAAGTGAAGTACTTCGGCCGGACGCCTGGAGAGAACGGTCCGCATAGCGAACGAGCAACGCACACAAAACCGACTCTTCTATCCTCTGGAATTGGAGAATGCACTTAAGGCTGAAGACTAAGGCAATGTCGTGTTTTTATTTATGAAGCCATTCGATAGCAGACCCCCTTATATTGTCTGCTTTTGAATAGGTTTTAAATTGCAGAGGTGTACATTTAAATGGGTACCACGGAGCATCTAAACACCATGAACAATTTTTGTGCCGGCCACTGCACGACAATCGCTTCATAACGTGACAGCCCTTGACCATGCTGGTAGTTTACCGCACGTTGTCCTGCCCTGGGGAAACTGTCCTGAAGGACACGAGCAGGTGTTGTTCTGGCAGGTAGCCGAGCCAGAAGTCAGGTA